ATTGGCATCAGCTTGTTTATCCATAACATGTAATATAAATAAAACATGCGATCGAGGGTCACAAAAACTACCCCTTAACATCCCCTTCTAACAGAAATCAATCACACAGAACAAGATAGTTAAGGGGCGACCGTGTTATTGGTAGTGATTATTTATTTAGAGTTAGGGGTTGAAATACTTATTTTATATGCAATGCAATTGAAATATTAATCTTAGTGCGACCTCGGTGGTCTAGCGGTTAATACCGCTTTATTTCTATGGTCGTGGGTTCGATTTCTCGCATATATCCAAAATCTTATGATATGTCAAATCTACCGCCAGTTCAGAGTGCTTTCGAGATGAGTACAACTGACAAGAAACTCAGCTCGTTACCTTTTCAAATATGGTTGTACATGTTTACTAAATATAATATAACATTTTTTTATCTTTATTCATGTAGGTCTATTACAGACTGTTATGATATAACAAATCTACCGTCAATTCGGAGTGATTTCGAGATGAGAAGAACTGACAAGAAACATGGCCCGTATTTTTTTTATGATATAAACAAATAAATAACCCTAGACAATTAACACAGCGCCATCTAGTCCCACGGTAAGCAGAGCTTGTGTTATGGGTACTAGGCAACTGATGTAAAGAAATAAATAACCCTGGACAATAACACAGCGCCATCTAGTCCCACGGTATGCAGAGCTTGTGTTATGGGTACTAGACAACTGATGTAAAGAAATAAATAACCCTGGACAATAACACAGCGCCATCTAGTCCCACGGTATGCAGAGCTTGTGTTATGGGTACTAGACAACTGATGTAAAGAAATAAATAACCCTGGACAATTTACACAGCGCCATCTAGTCCCACGGTAAGCAGAGTTTGTATTATAGGTACTAGACAACTCTTTTATGGGAATAAACTTTTATAGTAAGATACCAAAGCATATAGAAAAAATATTGAATATATAACCAACTGGTTAAACAATTAATAAGAGGAAATCAGGCATAGTGATTAGAGCAGACCAGTCCCTACAAGCAGCACCCGTTCACGAGTATGACAGATGAGCCAGCCATCACTGCGCTCGACCATATTTTAGGGAGCCCAATGACCCGGCCCACCACGCAGCCACAAGTCTGGACATTTTAGTGAGCATGACTACTCAAAACACTAGACCACGTCACAGCTACTTACTTTACAATAGGATTATTAGTCCACATTACTAACAATGCCATTCCCAAACTCTGTACTATTATAAATTATTATTATTATTATTTTCACTATTATCTCATTTTCTCAGCTTTTGATGATTTTATTATTATTACTAGCTGTCCCGGCAAACGTTCTGCCTTAAAATAAAAAAAAAAATTAGGGGTGGACTACCCCTAACATTTAGGGGGATGAAAAATAGATGTTGGCCGATTCTCAGACCTACTCAATACGCTCACAAAATTTCGTGAGAATCGGTCAAGCCGTTTTGGAGGAGTATGGGAACGAAAACTGTGACACGAGAATTTTATATATAAGATTATTGGTCTGGTTAAGAATTTCTGATGAAATTTAAATTAATTATCCAGGGTTGTTACCGTAGAATGTTCACCCTCATTTGTACAGTCGGTGAAGCGTGAAACTTGACATTTACATGGTAATACAAGTGCGTGAGTGACGCGCTTCAGTTATTTCATAGGGTGTTCAAAACCTACCCTGTACCATCGTAAGCACAGATTATTATATTAGAGTCCGTTAGTTTTCTGTTCCCGATTCTTTCCTTCCCCTCCCTTAACTAGCACTGAACCGACTGTACGGCGGCCATGACGCGCGCGCATTGTGTTGTGAATTAAAATAAATTAGAACTGAGTTAAACCTACTGTGAAACTGGAAAGCTAGCGAAGATACCTTCGAGACCCTGAAGCCCAAGAAATCCGCAGAACCATAAAGGTAAATGACTGACGCTTCCTTATTTTTCCCTATATATATACAGAGAGTAAATTCCCTAACATTTTGGTAGCAGAGTAGTTTCCCAAACATAGGGGATGGAGGGAAGAACACTATGGTGATATTTTATCAACCGACTTCAAAACGGGTTTTTTATAGATGATAATGGAATGGTGCACCCGCCTGCGCTAACGGTATACGCTGGCGGGGCAGTGGAGCATGATAAGATAATCATGAGGTCAGGTCAGTTAGCACATCGTGACAAATTCACCAGGAAGTTATCACGATGGTTTCCAGGGGGAACCGCGTGGAGGTCAACCTGACATGGTACATTGCTAGTAATATCTGTTGAATCATATTTATTGAGCAAAGCCTATTACTCACTAAACGATTACTTGAATGACGAGCATGCATGGCAATAGTTGTTCATGCACGGGATTTTCATTTAATGTTAGACATAGATATCTATTTAAATGAACTGGCTTTTAAAAAAAAAGGAAATTCAATTGTGTTTCTTTCAAGTCTGTATCTACGAGTATGTATAATATGTACAGATGTATTTACGAAAAAATCGATGTCTTTATATTAGTAATCTAGTACCCATAACACAAACTTTAGATAGCTTAACTTGGGTCTAGATGGCGCTGTGTGAATTGTACTGAGATTATTGTTATATTATACTGAACCGGACGGTAGGGAAAATATATTAATACAAAAAACTTTGCTTTCATAAACGGCTAAAATTTCCTACATGAATAAATAATTTTTGATTTTATTTGATTTGATTATTTGGAATACATATTTAGGATTTCGTGTGAATCCAAAACTGCCAAATAGCAATTGTTCAAAATCTACCCTGTACCATCGTAAGCACAGATTATTATATTAGAGTCCGTTAGTTTGTGTTCCCGCGGTTTCTGTTCCCCTCCCTTACCTACAGTACTGAACTGACCGTACAGCGGCCTTGACGCGCGCGCGCATTGTGAATTAAAATAAATTAGAACTGTGTGAAACCTACTGTGAAACTGGAAAGCTAGCGAAGATATCTTCGAGACCCTGAAGCCCAAGAAATCCGCAGAACCATACAGGTACGTGACAGACGCTTCCCTATATATATACATAGTACTTTCCCTAACATTTTGGTAGCAGAGCGTATTTTCCCTAACAGCAATATTGACGAAAGTAAATAAATAGCTACTTCAGTAACAATAACACAGATGGCAACACTAAAAACCGCTAGCGGATTATATTTACAATAGATATTTGAATCTATCGAATTCTCAAATTCGTTTATTCTATTAGATAATTGGGCTATTGACGCAACTGTCAGTCTATTACTGACAGATGTACGGCTCTTGTTTGCGAATTGCACAACTGTTCACAGAGTAATTAACTACTTCAGAGAGAACAAGATGTTAATCAATAATCTTATATATAAAATTCTCGAATTGCACAACGGTTCCGATTCTCAGAAATTTTGTGAATTAACTGAGAATCGGTCAATTAACTACTTCAGAGAGAACAAGATATTAATAATCTTATATATAAAATTCTCGTGTCACAGTTTTCGTCCCCATACTCCTCCGAAACGGCTTGACCGATTCTCATGAAATTTTGTGAGCGTATTGAGTAGGTCTGAGAATCGGCCAACATCTATTTTTCATTCCCTCTAAATGTTAGGGGTAGTCCACCTTTAAATTATTATTTTTTTATTTTAAGGCTAAACAACGTTTGCCGGGACAGCTAGTCTTATGTATAAAATTCTCGTGTCACAATGGTAGTTACCGTACTCCCCCGAAACGGCTTGACACATTTCTATGAAATACTAGCTGTGCCCGCGCTTTCACCAGGATGAAATTTATAGCTTATATTATTCGATGTATAAGCTATATTAGTGTAAAGTTTCGTCAAAATCCGTTCAGTAGTTTTTGCGTAAAATAATAACAAACATCCATCTACACTCACTAACTTTACGTTTATAATATTAATAAGATTGTACGCATATTCAATAGGTCTGAGAATCGGCTACTATCTATTTTTCATACCCCTAAGTGATAAGGGAAATCCATCCATAACATTTATTTTTTATTTTTAGGACAACTTGTTTTTCATAAATTAAAGAATTCGTTAACGATAATAATGTTTTTATAGAAAAACTTTAAATTCATAGCACTGACAATATTATCTGATTACATTAATAATGAGTGCGTAGCAATTTCTATGTTGATCATCGCATGCCTCTTACGTGTTATACTGTAATTATTTATATAAAAAAAGTCTAGTAAAAAGAGCAGCACACAAATTTCTTGCTCATTCTTCTTGTAATGAATCTGCATTCCGAATGAGTGCTAGAATCAAAATATGACTATTCAAAAGTGCTTGTAATGAGTCTATTTGTCTATTCGTTTTCTACACTAGGCTCGCTGGTATATATAAGGTAGAGAGAAAAATATTAATAGAGAAAACTTGACGTTCAAAGTCGCGATAAGATCCTACTCAAAAAATTATTTTTAATTTTGTTGATTTGAATAATAATAATAAGTCTCAGGACAATTCACACAGCGCCATCTAGACCCAAGTTAAGCTAACTAAAGCTTGTGTTATAAGTACTAGATAACTGATACAAATACATAGATTTTGTTTTCGTAAATACATACATATTATACATAGAAAACCGCCAGACAAACAATCATACTCATGAATACAAATATTTGTGCCGTGCTAGGAATCGAACCCGCGACCATCGGACGTAAAGCGGTATGTTAGACCGCGAGACCACCGAGGTCGTCAAATTAATGATTTGATTTGAATTATTTTTTATTTGATTTATTTTTAAATTATATTAAATTGTAATATTTATGCGACGGTACGCTGGGCAATTTATATGTCGTAATTTTTTATGTAACTATTGTCTCTTGTTGTGTTGTGCTTGAGACAACACAACGTGACAATAAAATATATTCTATTCTATTCTTATTTGACTGATTTTTGATTTGATTTGAATTATTCTTGATTTGATTTGAATTGAATTCTTTTTGATTTGATTTTAATCAAATGTTCTATTTTGTTGACAGATGAGACAGTGTGAAAAGCGGGCGAGCCACGGCGGCTAGCAGACATGGAGGGGGGGTGGCTGGTGCTGGCGGCCGTACTCATAGCGGCGCACGCGCAGAACAACAGGAGTGAGTGTCTACTTTATACGTCTTTATTAAACAAGTTGACATTATACAAGGCTTGCATCCGTCCCATCATGACTTACGCTAGTCCCGTATTCGCCCACATACCCTACTGTTTAATCAACAGACTACAGATCATACAGAATAGGTTTCTGCGTCGAGCCACCGGTGCGCCGTGGTTCGTTCGCAGCGTAGATCTCCACCGCGATCTTAATCTGCCCTCCATCAAGCAGTTTATGAAGGAAGCGTCTCGACGCTACTTCGACTCTGCCCAATCCCACCCTAATCCGCTTATAGTCAGTGCGGTCGACTACGCACCGAGGAGTAATATCCGACATACGCGACAACGTCGCCCGAGGCACGTTCTCATTGACCCCGACGTCCCCATAACGGCAGGTAACCTCCCCACGGGCCCACCCGTTCCACCCCGACCACACTTTTACACACACACACACACACACACACGACACCGTCCTCGCCGGCGAAGACGACGACCTCAAACACACAATATCGCGCATTCAACCGGGCGCCTGCGCGCGCCCGGGCGCTCCACACCGGCGCCCCCGGGCGCCGCTCCGATCGATCCCCCGTCCAATTCAAACGGGGATCGAAATTACGACGGCCTGAGCCGAGATTCGAACCCCTAATGGTGCCCTCAGACTAAAGTCGTATCCGTCGGGCAGGAGTTGGCCTTCAGCCGCTCCATAAGTCCTTCCGCGGGTTTGGAGTGCCATCTGCACTCGCCCCATAACGTCCGGTGAAGCTGTAAAGGCCATCTACGGCCAACAGCATTAGAGTAGTCCGAAAAAAAAAACGTCTTTATTAGGATTAACTACCTCGAGGTTCTGGCGATAGTCGCGGGTTCGATTCCTCCGTGGAAACATTCGCACTCATGTGTATGATTGTTTGTGAATGAATGCAAAAGAGTGGACCAGCATGAGCATGCTGAGTGCTGCGGAAAATTGCCCGACCCGACAACCCAGGTCAGATTGTCCTGGCGCCGCAAAATTAGTAGATCCAACCCCGTATAATGTGGGACAGAGCTAAGAAGATGAAGGTATAATTGTTTGTATCGGTCTGGGTGTTTTCTATGTATATTATGTATGTATTTACGAAAAAATGTATCTATGTATTTGTATAAGTTGTCTAGTACCCATTATACAAGGTCTGCTTAGCTTAAGACTAGATGGCGCTCTGATCTAAATTTCCAGAGATATTATTATTGTTACCATCGTTAATTGTGGACCGATTTTCAAAATATTTAAATTTTTGTTGATAGTGTGTACACATTGTGTTCCCAAGCCAATTTAGAAAAAAACTGAATAATAGACTAACAAAAAACAGTGTAGGTCTTGCAATAAAATAGGATACAAATGTTCCTTTCATAATCAAGAGGCATGTACCTTTTAGATCCACCATTAATTCTTAAAGAAATATAGCATACTTAATAATAACCCAAAATGCATCAGCCAATAAATCTACAAAGATAAACAAAAATGAACTTTCCAGAAATATTATTTAACGATTACTCGGGACAATATCAAGCTATCAATTGCTAACAGCAACCAACCAAACAAACTTGTCAAAACAAATAAATAAACGCGCCAAAATTGCCGAGTTGACGGCCATCTTGTAAACACTGCGTTAGCAAATGGCGTCGAGACGGGAAGCGGGAAAAGTGGCTTCCTGTTTTTACTTCATTCTTACAATTGATAACTATTAAAAACATAAAATCCATAGCAATGACAATATTATCTGATTGCACTAATAATGAGTGCGTAGCGGTTTCTATGTTGATTATCGCATGCCTCTTACCTGTTATACTGTAATCTTATATATTTTTTCACAGTTTTCGTTCCCATACTCCTCCGAAACGGCTTGACCGATTCTCATGAAATTTTGTGAGCGTATTGAGTAGGTCTGAGAATCGGCCAACATCTATTTTTCATCCCCCTAAATGTTAGGGATAGTCCACACCTACATTTTTTTTTTATTTTGAGGCAGAACAACGTTTGCCGGGACAGTTAGTATATTCATAAATATTGAGTATATGTGTAAATATTTATTTAATATTATATATTATATATAATTATGGATTAGTTTATAATATTTTTTATACATTGTTATTTTAAATGGTATACCTACATTTTTTGTTTTTTTTTTTATTTTTTAATGCACTGCCCACTAGATCTCTATCTGCCCAATGGTTGACTGGGAGAAAACACCTCAGGGTGTTAAGTCCGCCATAGGCATCTATATCTATATTTGTGTATTTGTGCATAAAAGATTAAATAAATAAAATAAAAGAATTTGTCTATGATAATAAAAAAAACAATACATTTTTCAGTGTTCTTCTGATAAATATATCTAATTTAATTTGTTCCTCGAATAGCTATTATATTTTTTTGCTATTGACAATTTTGCTATTTGGCAGTTTGTATTCACACAAAATAATTTGTTATACTTATTGACTTTTATGAAATTCATAAAAGTCAATAAGTATAACAAGTTTGTTAACAAAATCCTAAATATGTGATGGTAAACAACATTTATTTAAAAGAGCAACACACAAGTTTCTTCTTGGTTTTTTCTTAAATACATATAATATGTATGTATTTAAGAAAAAAAATACATATCCGTCATACTCGTGAACGGGTTCTGCTTGTAGGAACAGGTCTGTTCAGGTTGCGAACACTGATTAGATTTTTTGTTTTTTGCAATAGCATATGCTGGTGGTCACTCTATTCTCCCAAATTTGAATTTAAATGACTGTGTATTATTGTAAATATGTACAACATTTATGTTTACATAAAAATGAAAAGAATACGAGCTGAGTTTCTTGTCAGTTCTTCTCATCTCGAAATCATTCCGAACTGACGGTAGATTTGACATATCATAAGTCTGTAATAGACCTACACGAATAAAGATATTTTTAACGTGAATTTGAATTTGATATGTCTATCTATTTGTATCAGTTATCTAGTACCCATAACACAAGCTTTAGCTAGCTTAACTTGGGTCTAGATGGCGCTGTGTGAATTGTCCTGAGATTATTATTATTTATATATTTCGCTTTCTCAACCTTTTTGCTGGTTTTTTACGCTTTACGCCGTATACCAAAATGACAGGCCATAAAGTAAGTGCAATGTGTGTGTTTGTATGTATGTGTGCATGTATGCGCGTGTGTATATCGTGAACCTTTTAATTTACGTAATTAATTAATTAATTAATATTATACTCAACTTGTTTAATGCAATAATTCTTAACTTGGCTCTAGATGGCGCTGTGTGAATTGTCCTGAGATTCTTATTATTGTATTCAACTCCTATTTTTCCTATCAAATGCAGTAAATACTCCCATACGTTCGCGAGAACATCCGATGCACTGTAGGAAGTGGTTAGCCTCTTGAATGCATTGATAAATTGAATACGAAATGCATTGCTGGCCTTCTTCATAGCAAAATCATTTCCCGTGTGGGCTCTTGGGAAATCGATTTAAAAATTCTTGTTATAAAACTGAAATGACACTAATCTTATTAATATTATATATATATATATTATATATTATATATATATATATATATATATATATATATATATATATATATATATATATATTATATATATATAGAAAGTTTGTGATTATGGATGGATGTTTATTACTCTTTCATGCACTTTCCAAAAGTTTAAATATTGTATGTAATGCGACTTCGTCCGCGTGGAATTTAACTTTATTTTTCTAAAATAAAAGTAGGCTAAGTTACTCATTATTACATCAGCTACCTGTCAAAAAAAGTCCCGTCAAAATCGGTCCAGTCATTTCAGAGATTAGCCGGAACAGACCGACAGATTGACAGACAAAAATTGTAAAAAATGTTATTTTGGTGTATGTACCGTATTTATATTCATATGCATATAGTAAAAAACGGTTATTTCAATATTACAAACTACTTGTAGAAATTACAAAAATAACTAATTGTAAAGTACAAAATTTTGTACTCTGCGAGGATTCAAACCCATTATTGTGTCTTGTCTAGATGGTACTAAAATAAATAAATAAAAAATGAATATTATCATTGATATTATTTAGTATCTGTTACAGATGATGGCCCGCGGTTTCTCTCACGCGGTCACTCCTTCAGGACTGTCGTTGGAGACACTTTACTACTGCCTTGTCAGGTTCAGAACTTGGGTAAGTACATACATACATCTAAATATATATAACTCAAAAGTGACTGACGTAGTGATCTATCAACGCACAGCCCAAACCACTGGACGAATCGGGCTGAAATTTGGCATGCAGGTAGATGTTATGACGTAGGCATCCGCTAAGAAAGGATTTTGATTAATTCTACCCCCAAAGGGATAAAATAGGATCTGGTCAAGATCGCTGGAAGACATTGGATGCGAGCAGCGCAGGACCGATCGCCGTGGAGATCTTTGGGGGAGGCCTTTGTTTAGCAGTGGACTTCTTCAGGGCTGAGGTGATGAACCTCAAAGAAAGGCCCTTTATTTGACTTTGTAGAATGTGACTGCGGGGACATTCCTGAGGCGGTACTTCACTGTGAACTTCTCTTATATAAGTCACAGGTTCGGCCGCACATGGTGTACTGCACTCATCTTTGGGCGAAAGCATCTGGATACCAGCTCGGTCCTTTTGACTCGGTTCAGAGACGTGCTATGAGAATTATCGATGATCCCAATCTCTCTGGCGGTATCGAGCCACTTAGTTTGAGGCGAGACTTCGATTCGCTTTGTGTGTTCTACCGATTTTACAACGGTCTGTGTTCTGAGGAATTGTTCGACATGATGCCTACGGCCACCTTTTACCATCGTACCGCTCGCCATCGACAGGGAATTCATCCCAACACGCTGGAACCTAAGTGGACTCGAGCAGTGCGGTGTCAGAGGAGCTTCCTCCCGCGTACACTTAGATTGTGGAATGAACTAGCTGACGAGGTTTTCTCCCGACTACAGCATGGGGTTTTTCAAGAAGGGTATATTAAGGCTTCTTAAGGGTCGGCAACGCGCACGTGATACCCCTGGTGTTTCAGGCGTTCATAGCCTATGGTAACCATTTACCATCAGACCGTATGCTTGTGTGCCATCACTACGTGTGCCACCATCGTAATGATGGTGGCACACAAACATACACAAGCATGATAATAATATATTATATATGGTGCACCCGCCTGCGCTAACGGTATACGCTGGCGGGGCACCAGTGGAGGATGATAAGAACATGAGGTCAGGTCAGTTAGCACATCGTGGCAAATAAACCAGGAATTAAAAATCATTGTATCCATGAAGCTGCGTAGATGTCAACCTGACATGGTACATTGCCATTTCAGCCAAGCAGCTTGCTTTGTAAGCTGTTTCGCTTGTAGGGTCCAGCTTAGGTAGTGAAATTACAGGACAAGAAGCTTGATATCTTAGTCTTCCAAACGCCAATCTAGAGCTACCGGTAGCTTTGACTTATCATAAAAGTCTGTTATTGACCTACATGAATTAAGATATTTTGATTTTAGAATATACTAGCTACTCGCCCCGGCTTCGCAAGGGTGTACATGTATTATATAGAATAGAATAGAAAAGAATAGAATAGAAAAGAATAGAATAGAAAATCATTTATTCAAATAAACTTACATTGAAGCACTTTCGAATAGTCATTACATTTTTTAATCTACCGCTCGTTCGGAAAGCTGTCTCATCACATGAAGAACGAGCAAGAAACTTAATTAATTATATATAAACATTCCTCTTGAATCACTCTGTCTATTAAAAAAACCCGCTTCAAAACCCGTTGCGTAGTTTTAAAGATTGAAGCATACATAGGGACAGACAGCGACATCGACTTTGTTTTATATAATGATAATGATGAAGTAAGATGACTACAATGCTAATATGAATGTTTCAGGGTCTCTGGTCCTCCTGTGGAGGCGTGGACCCGCTGTCCTAACGGCTGCCAGTCTAATGGTCACCAGGGACGAGAGATTCAGACTGGTAGATGGTTATAACCTGCAGATAACCGACGTGGGCCCACAGGTGTGTATTAATTTTAGATATGTTCTTTTTATTTCTCAATTTGAGCATGTTTGACCACAATCTCACATGATATCATGGTCTCTGGGTGGTTATGGAATAGAATAGAATAGAAAATAATTTATTCTAATAAACTTAATTTAGGCACTTTTGAACAGTCATAGTTATCATTCTTTTAATCTACCGCTCGTTCGGAAATCTGTCTCATCACAAGAAGAACGAGCAAGAAACTTGTGTGTTGCTCTTTTAAATAACCGTTGTAACTTTACAAATCATCAACTAGCACTAATTTATTAGGGTCAAATATTAAATACACAATAAGACAAGCAGACTCGTTCACGAGTATGACGTATGAACCAGCCATCACTGCGCTCGACCATATTTTAGGGAGCCCAATGACCCGGCCCATAACGCCGCCACAAGTCTGGACATTTTAGTGAGCATGACTACTCAATCCACTCGACCACGTCATAACTACTAAAAGTTACCATATGGTTTGCAAAGTTGTATAGTATAGTATTTGCACTTTACATAAGAATGCATGCAATACAAATAAATTATTAACATTATTTCTAGAAAGCATGGTCTAACAGATCCTCTAGAATGACAACGCATGAGTGGTATCACGGGTAACGTGATAACGTGATGTCCGTAGTGCTGTTCATGTATAGCGACGGTTACCACTTACCATCGGGTGGTACGTCAGCTTGTAACTACAATAAAAGTACCAGGAGAACATAAGTTTACAGGCAGTTTGTTGAGAGATATGACCTGTGAAATTACAGTGTATGGAGACCGGACCTCGTAGTCCTTCAGATCTCCACCGTATTAAGGTCACATGATAACGTGATGTCCGTAGTGCTGTTCATGTATAGCGACGGTTACCACTTACCATCGGGTGGCACGTCAGCTTGTAACAAAAAAGTGTAGCGAAACTACATTAAAAGTACCAGGAGAACATGAGTTTATAGGCAGTTTGTTGAGACATATGACCTGTGAAATTACAGTGTATGGAGACCGGACCTCGTAGTCCTTCAGATCTCCACCGTATTAAAGCAACATGTTAACGTGATGTCCGTTATGCTGTTCATGTATGGCGACGGTTACCACTTACCATCGGGTGGCACGTCAGCTTGTTTGGCATTACAATAACAAAAAGATGTAGCGAAACTACATTAAAAGTACCAGGAGAACATGAGTTTATAGGCAGTTTGTTAAGACATGACCTATGAAATTACAGTGTATGGAGACCGGACCTCGTAGTCCTTCAGATCTCCACCGTATTAAGGTCACATGATAACGTGATGTCCGTAGTGCTGTTCATGTATAGCGACGGTCACCACTTACCATCGGGTGGCACGTCAGCTTGTTTGGCATTACAATAACAAAAAGATGTAGCGAAACTACATTAAAAGTACCAGGAGAACATGAGTTTATAGGCAGTTTGTTGAGAGATATGACCTGTGAAATTACAGTGTATGGAGACCGGACCTCGTAGTCCTTCAGATCTCCACCGTATTAAGGTCACATGATAACGTGATGTCCGTAGTGCTGTTCATGTATAGCGACGGTTACCACTTACCATCGGGTGGCACGTCAGCTTGTTTGGCATTACAATGACAAAAAAATGTAGCGAAACTACAATAAAAGTACCAGGAGAACATGAGTTTATAGGCAGTTTGTTGAGACATATGACCTGTGAAATTACAGTGTATGAAGACCGGACCTCGTAGTCCTTCAGATCTCCACCGTATTAAGGTCACATGATAACGTGATGTCTGTAGTGCTGTTCCTGTTTACGTTAAGACTGTTTATGTTTTTCCTGGCATACATGATATTTTCATAAACGTATTGAGAAGCAACGGTGAGGATATCTGAATCCGTATAGCACTCTCGCAAGGACTCCGTGGAAGCTATACCATAAATGGAGCGAATAGCTCTCTTTTGTAGAATAAATATTGTATTTATATCTGCTGCTTTACCTCATAACTAAATATCATACGACATAATGCTATGGAAATGGCTAAAATAGACAAGTTTAGCCGTTGCCACGTCTGTTAATTGTCTAATTCTTCTTACCGCATAAGTGGTAGGACTAAGTCGACTCGCTAATTTAGAAATATGGGCTCCCCATTGCAACTTGAAATCTAATGAGATACACAGAAATACAGTATCGTCAGCAAAATTTATAGGTTTATTGTCAAACTGAAATTCATGTAGGACATTTTAGCCGCTTATGAACGTCATCTTTTTTATAGTATATTTTTTTCATTACCGTCCAGTTCAGTATATAGATCCAATTGAGAAGAACTGGCAAGAAACTCAATTGATTTTTTAAAGCCAGTTTATTTACAATGTATATTTATATAGGTCTCTATGTCTAACATTAAATGAAAATCCCGTGCATGAACAACTATTGCCATGCACACTCGTCATTCAAGTAATCGTTTAGTGAGTAACAAGCTTTGCTCAGTAAATATGATTTAACAGATGTTTTGAATTTATTTAAGTAATTCCGGTGCATCCTGACCTGTTACGATATGTTAGTGTAACGTTATTTTTTTATCCAGTTAATATAAAAGACAAAAGAATTAAGAAAGAATCCTATTAACTGATTATTTGACAACTCAGTATTTTTTCCCACATTTAACTGGATTCTGTCAAAAAATTATCTCAAATATTTCTCTTTTATTGCCCAAAGGAAGAGGGGTCGAGTTTTGATGACATTAGCAAGGAAGGGGCGTCAGTTGGCATCAGAATCTATTATGAATTCCATTTTTTATGTACACTAACATTCTATTGCTTACAAATTATGCTTTATAGAATAGAATAGAATAGAATAGAAAATCATTTATTCAAATAAACTTAATTTAAGCACTTTTGAATAGTCATAACAATTTGTTTTTTATCTACCACTCGTTCGGAAAGCTGTCTCATCACAAGAAGAACGAGCAAGAAACTTGTGTGTTGCTCTTATAAAACGAGGTTATAATTTATTACATAAATAGAACTAGCAGACCCGGCCACGCGTTGTTGTGGCTAAGGTTCTTGAATAAAATAATATTGCGACTATAAATTGAGATGTAAGCTATCCTATCTTTCAAGTTGGATCAAATTGCACACAATGTGCAAATCAAATTTGCAATCGGTTCAGTAGTTTAGGAGTGCATCGCGGAAAAACAACGTGACACGTAATTTTTATATATAAAGATATAAAATTCTCGTTCAAATTCAAAAGTGATTCAATGTAAGTTTATTTAAATAAACGATTTTCTATTCTATTCTATTCTATTCTATTCGTGTCACAATGTTACTTATTATACTCCACTGAAACGGCTTGGCCGATTTTAATGAAATTTTATATGCATATTCAGTATGTCTGAGAATCGGCTATCTATTTTTCATACTCCTATGTGATAAGAAATGTTTTTTTTTTAGATTTTTTTTTTATTTTCATTATAATTATAATGTGACATCAATAAAACCCTATTTTTTATAATGTGTCATTAATAAAACCCTGAACCACAAATTTTCACCTTTCTACCAGCAACCCCTATTTTTTAATAGCGATTTTAATTTATATGGGAAAACAAACGTTTGCCGGATAAGCTAGTTAATAATAATAATAATAAACTTATGTCACTTTAACGACCTCGGTGGTCTAGCGGTTTAGCACACCGCTTTACGTCCGATGGTCGCGGGTTCGATTCCTCGCACGGCACAAACATTTGTATTCATGAGTATGATTGTTTGTGTCGATCTGAGTATATATGTTTAAGTATTTATATCAGTTGTCTAGTACCCATAACACAAGCTCTGCTTACCGTGGGACTAGATGGCGCTGTGTTAATTGTCCAGGGTTATTTATTTATTTATATCAGTTGTCTAGTACCCATAACACAAGCTCTGCTTACCGTGGGACGAGATGGCGCTGTGTTAATTGTCCAGGGTTATTTATTTATTTATATCAGTTGTCTAGTACCCATAACACAAGCTCTGCTTACCGTGGGACTAGATGGCGCTGTGTTAATTGTCCAGGGTTATTTATTTATTTATATCAGTTGTCTAGTACCCATAACACAAGCTCTGCTTACCGTAGGACTAGATGGCGCTGTGTTAATTGTCCAGGGTTATTTATTTATTTATATCAGTTGTCTAGTACCCATAACACAAGCTCTGCTTACCGTGGGACTAGATGGCGCTGTGTTAATTGTCCAGGGTTATTTATTTATTTATATCAGTTGTCTAGTACCCATAACACAAGCTCTGCTTACCGTGGGACTAGATGGCGCTGTGTTAATTGTCCAGGGTTATTTATTTATTTATATCAGTTGTCTAGTACCCATAACACAAGCTCTGCTTACCGTGGGACTAGATGGCGCTGTGTTAATTGTCCAGGGTTATTTATTTATTTATATCAGTTGTCTAGTACCCATAACACAAGCTCTGCTTACCGTAGGACTAGATGGCGCTGTGTTAATTGTCCAGGGTTATTTATTTATTTATATCAGTTGTCTAGTACCCATAACACAAGCTCTGCTTACCGTGGGACTAGATGACGCTGTGTTAATTGTCCAGGGTTATTTATGTATTTATATCAGTTGTCTAGTACCCATAACACAAGCTCTGCTTACCGTGGGACTAGATGGCTCTGTGTTAATTGTCCAGGGTTATTTATTTATTTATATCAGTTCTCTAGTACCCATAACACAAGCTCTGCTTACCGTGGGACTAGATGGCGCTGTGTTAATTGTCCAGGGTTATTTATTTATTTATATCAGTTGTCTAGTACCCATAACACAAGCTGTGCTTACCGTGGGACTAGATGGCGCTGTGTTAATTGTCCAGGGTTATTTATTTATTTATATCAGTTGTCTAGTACCCATAACACAAGCTCTGCTTACCGTGGGACTAGATGGCGCTGTGTTAATTGTCCAGTGTTATTATTACAATTTCAATGCAAACCGTATCGGATCAAAACACTAAATACGCAAATTATACCT